ATAAAAAGTTCTGTTTTCAAAATCCTGCAGTAGCAAGGTCAGTTATAGCCGCCCTTTCCTCCAGAAGGAGTTCAATATTTTTTCATGCCCCTTAAACTCTTGTTATGAGCAACTACCAGGGACTGGGTCCTCTGTAGGGTTTTGAGGATCACCGGGGAGAGAAGGAGCACCCCCCACCATGGAGAGAAGCATTATCAGAACCCATACAAATAAACCCAGAAAGGTTAAAATGAGGTACAGGAATGCTGGCACATAAAACAGAGATCCTGAACTGGTTCAGAGGATCAGAGAAGAGTTTTTATTTATTTATTTATTTATTTATTTATTTATTTATTTATTTATTTATTCACAAGAGACACACAGAGAGAGAGGCAGAGACACAGGCAGAGGGAGAAGCAGGCTCCATGCAGGGACGCTGACATGGGACTTGGTCCCAGGACCCCAGGATCACACCCTGGGCCCAAGGCAGGCGCCAAACTGCTGAGCCACCAAGGGATCCCCTCCTCCAATGTTTTCATTGGGTTCTTTGGCTCTTTCAAGACCTCTCCAAGCCAGGCCAATGAGTGTGTGGGGATGAAGGATGAGGGTGGAGTGGGGGGGCAGGTGAGATGGGCCAAAGCCAGAGTCCCAGCTCCACTTCTGAGAAGCTGGGTCCACATTGGGTGTGGGGCATCCAGGGAGGATGACCAAGCACTAGAGCCAACTCGTCCATCCAGTTAGACCCTTCTTATGAATAAAACCTGTCTTGGAGAAGAGCACCATGGGAAGGAATAAAGAAGAGAGCAAACATGTCTTCCAGAGATGGAGAAAATACAGAACAGAGGCACAGGGAATGGGAAGCTCAGAGGCAAGAGGGAGGGATGATTGAAAAAAAAAAAAAAGAAAGGCAATTTGTATGTTGAGTTCCGTTGCTCAGAACTCTGCTTGGGTTTTCAACTGTCCCAAACCCAAACTCCTTAACAGAATTTACGAAGATGTCTATGATTTAGGCTCTGCCAAGACCTTCACCCTTGCCTGCTGCTGCCTCATTTGGGAACGGCCAGGTAGCGGGGTGGTAGGGGCTCTCCGGTGCTCCCCATCCTCTCTCCCCTCTGGTACCTCATGCCCCCTCTGCAGGTTTCACCAGGAGCAGCCCACACATAGAGTCCATCCTTCACCTTCTGGATTCAGTTGTCTTACCAGCTTACTCTTTCTCCCAGCATCCTTTTGTCCTGGGTGAAAGTTTTGAACATTTTATCCATTTTCTGTTTGCTTGACTTCCATTTGTTTCTCTCCACCATTTGAGGTCAGAGATTAAGTCTGGAATCATCGCTTTATCCCTGGGCCCTGCTCAGCACTGGGCACAGAGGTTCTCAATGAGCGCATATTAATTGGATTTTTGGAGGGTGTGACGTTAGGGAGGGGTAGAGCAGGGACCTGATTGCATCAAAATTTTTCTTAAATGAGAGGTCCCTAAACCCAGCAGATACATAGATGAGTTCAGGAGCTTGGAAAACACACAGCTGAAGAAGTCATTGCACTTCAAGAGGACAGTATGGCAGGTAAGCCGGGGCAAAGGTATGCTGCAGTCCTAGGGGCTGAGCGGTTGGGTGGCGGACAGGCCGAGGTAAGTGGGTGGGATTTCGGTAGCCTCTTGCCAGCATCAAGTGGTAAGTTTGGGAAACCACTGGGTTATACCAACAGCAAGCACTGGAAAACTATTTGTAACTGGATTCCACCATTACCTTGATTTTGTTTTTCCAAGTCTTTTTTTTTAAAGATATTATTTATTTATTCTTGAAAGACAGAGAGAGAGAGAGAGAGAGAGAGAGAGAGAGGCAGAGACACAGGCAGAGAGAAGCAGGCTCCATGCAGGGAGCCCAACACGGGACTCGATCCCAACACCCCAGAATCAGGGCCTGAGCCAAAGGTGGATGCTTAACCAATGAGCCACCCAGGTGTCCCTTTCCAAGTCCTTTTTAACACCTGGTACCGTCAGATGTTCAAATGTCAACCATTTGGTGGTGTTAAATAGTGAAATTCAACTGGGTAAATTGTTAAGATCTTACTGGCAATATCTGATGTTTCATGAATCAGGCAGCATCCAATCTAGCAGATAGAAAGGGCCTCTGGGGAGCTGTAGTAAGAGAAAGACTTTTCTGGGCAAACAAGTGCATTGGTTATTGCAGGGTTGCTTTCCCCGGGGGATGGCAGAGGTCTATCAGGTGGTTTCCTAACTAGTGGTGATCAAGCAATTCCTGATTGGTTTAAGGTTTCATTCTTGGGAGAGCAGAAACTCAAGTCTCAGTATGGTGATGTGGGGACGGCATGAGCCACTCCTTTTTGAGCTCATTGTCTTTTTGTGTTTTAAAGATTTTATTTATTTATGGGAGAAAGAGAGAGACAGAGAGACAGAGGGGCAGAGACACAGGCAGAGGGAGAAGCAGGCTCCATGCAGGGAGCCCAACGCGGGACTCAACCAGGTCTCCAGGACCATGCCCTGGGTTGAAGGTGGCGCTAAACCGCTCAGCCACCCGGGCTGCCCGGTTTTTGTTTTTTTTTCTTCAAGATTTTTAACTTATTTATTGGAGAGAGACCACAAGCAAGGGAGAAGCAGGCTCCCCGCTGAATAGGGAGCCTGATGTGGGGCTTGATCCCAGGACTCTGAGATCATAACCTGAGCCGAAAGCAGCCTTTCACCGACTGAGTCACCCAGGCACTAGTCTTGATTTTTTTTTTTTTTAGAGATTTTATTTATTGAGAGAGGGCCCATGCAAGTGGGGAGGGGCAAGGGGAGAAGGAGAAAAAATCTGAGGTAGACTCCAAATGGAGCACAGAGCCTGACCTGGGGCTCGGTCTGAATTTCTTTTTCTTTTTCCTTTTTTAAGATTTATTTTTATTTTTTTATTTTAAAAAAATATTTACTTAGGGACACCTGGGTGGCTCAGCGGTTGGGTGTCTGCCTTTGACTCAGGGCATGATCCTGGGGTCCCGGGATCCGGGCCCACATTGGGCTCCCTGCATAGAGCCTGCTTCTCCCTCTGCCTGTGTCTCTGCCTCTCTCTTCCTATGTCTCATGAATAAATAAATAAAATCCTTTAAAAATATGTACTTATTTGAGAGAGAGAGCGTGCAAGAGCAAGCACGAATGTGAGCAGGCAAGCAAAGGGTGGGGGGGGGTGGAATGAAAGGGAGATTCTTCAGCAGACTCCTGGCTGAGTATGGAGCTGACACAGGATTTGATCTCACAACCCTGAGATCTTGACCTGAGCCAAAACCAAGAGTTGGGTGCTCAACTGACAGGGCCACCCAGGCACCCCTTTAAGACTTTATTTTTTAAGCAATCTCTACACCCATGTGGAACTTGAACTCATGACTCCTGAGATCAAGACTCACACGCTCTGACAGTCAGGCACTCGGAGAAGTGCTATTTCTTGTCTAAGGACATGAATATAATTTTATTCATATTTTCCTTGAATTTTTAAAAACAACTTCATTTTAAGAATAGAAAGAGCCGTATTGTGTCTCAACACACGCACTTATTGGAACTTGCAACTGGCTCTTCTGATAGATGTTCCATGTTGCTTAATACTGAACTAATGAAAATATTAATTCACCTTTTTTATATACTGATCTCTCAGATTGGTAGATTATTTCAGAATCACATCTGCATCCTTCCTCAATTTCATTCTCTATAATTTATAAATACAGGTATAATAATAATTTGATTAAGTCAATATCAATTCATTTTATTCAGACTTTTGTAAATATCATTACTGCAGATTTAGTCCACATCTGAATGATTCATTTAATATAAACTTCATAATTTGAAGTGTTAATAATTTCCTTTTTTTCTCATATGCTTAAGATGCAGCTTTCTTAATTTTCAACCTTACAGTTTATTAATTTGTTTTCTGGTATATTCAGTCTTTTCCCCCAAATATCCAAACCCATTAATCGAGTAGTCAGTTGAGTTCATTTTCTTGATTGTCTACTATACAGGAGTCTTGCTCTTATCCGTGGGGGGATTACGATCCAAGACCTCCATTGGATGCCTGAAACTGCGGATAGCATCGAATCCTCTATGCATTTTTTCCTAAACATACATTCTTCTGATAAAGTTTATAAATTGGGCATAGTAAGGGAATAATAACAATAACTAGTAATAAAATAGAACAACACTGCGGTGCCTGGGTAGTTCAGTTGGTTAAGTGTCTGCCTTTGGCTCAGGTCATGATCCCAAGGTCCTGGGATCAATCCCCAAGTCGGGCTCCCTGCTCAATGGGAAATCTGCTTCTCCCTCTCCACTAGTTGTGCTCTCTCATGCTCTTTCTCGCTCTCAAAAAAAAAAAAAAATCTTAAAGAAAAAATAGAACAACTTTAACAATAAGTTGTTATAAAAGTTATGTTAATTTTTTTTTTACCAAAGGTTTCATTTATTTATTCATGAGGCACAGAGAGTGAGAGAGAGAGAGAGACATAGGCAGTGGAAGAAGCAGGCTCCATGCAGAGAGCCCAATATAGGCCTTGATCCCGGGACTCCAGGATCATACCCTGGGCCAAAGGCAGGTGCTAAACTGCTGAGCCACCCAGGCATCCCTGAATGTAGTCTTAGTTTCTCAAAGTATTGCACTGTCCTCATCCTTTTTGTGATGATATGACATGATAAAATGCTTATGTGGTGAAGCGAGGTGAGGCAAATGATGTATGGATTGTGATGTCTATGTTAGGCTATTATAGAACTTCTGACAATAGGTCAGAAAGAGGGTCACCTGCTTCAGGACCATGAGTGACCAGGAGTCACTGAAACCAGAGAAAATGAAATCGAGGACAAAGGGAAGCTTCTGCACAGAGCTTGTGTCATCCTCCTGAAATCGGCCACCTTGTTTTCTAGGCCTGGTGTATGAGCATCCATCTGGGACTTCTCTTTACACTTCTCTTTTCTCCCATACACATTTCCCCCTTTCTTTTATTTTGTTTGTGGGAACTACATCCTCACATGGTTCCTTAAGAAAGGGTACATGGCAGGTAAGTTGGCTGAAACTGCCTTTATTCTTTTCTCACATGAAAGGATAAATTTGCATGGAGAATTCTACATTAAAAATAGGTTTCTTGGGCAGCCCAAGTGGCCCAGTGGTTGAGCGCCCGTCTTCGGCCCAGGGTATGATCTGGAGACCCGGGATCGAGTCCCATGTTGGGCTCCCTGCATGGAGCCTGCTTCTCCCTCTGCCTGTGTCTCTGCCTCTCTCTCCTCTCTGTGTATTCTCATGAATGAATAAATAAAATCTTAAAAAAAAGAAAATAAAATAGGTTTCTTAAGAATGTTACAGTCTTTGGGGCACCTGGCCGACTTACTTGGTAGGGCACGGGACTCTTGGTCTTGGGGCTGTAAGTTAGAGACTCACATTGGGTACGCATATTACTTAAAAACAGAGTCTTAGGGTACCTAGGTGGCGCAGTTAGGTGTTGGACTTCTGATTTTGACTCAGATTATGACCTCAGAGTTGTGAGATGGAGCCCTGGGTCAGGCTCCACACTGAGCGTGGAGTCTGCTTGAGATTCTCTCCCTCTCCCTCTTCTTTCCACTTCACTTGAGCACTCTCTCTCTCTCTTAAAAAAATATAATATATGTATATAATAAAAATAAATCTTAAAGAAAGGTAAAGTCCTGATTCACTGTCTTCTGATACACAGTGTCACTTTTCTGAAGACCAATGGAATTTTGATTATCATTTCTTTGTATGGAACTTTTATTTTCATTTAGAAACTTTTATATGCTTGGAATGCTTGGGTGGCTCAGCGGTTGAGCATCTGTCTGTCTTTAGCCCAGAGCGTGATCTTACAGACCCGGGATCAAGTCCCACATCGGGCTTCCTGCGTGGAGCCTGCTTCTCCCTCTGCCTGTGTCTCTCTCTCTCTCTCTCTGTGTCTCTCATTAATAAACAAATAAAAATTTAAAAAGAAGCTTTTAGGCTTTTCTATATTTCTTGTATTCTGATATTTTGCAACAATGGGTCCTTTTTATCATTTATTGTGCTCATCCTTGAGTAGCCTCAACCTGGAGACTCTTACACTTTATTCTCAAATCGTAAATTATTCATTTTATAATACTTTCAAGATATTCTCTGGAAATTTTTTTAAGTTAAAGAGGTACTCTGTAGTCCAATATTGCTGATATTAGACATCCTTGATTAAATTTTTATTTTTAACTTTCCATTCTTTTTGTCCATGCTTTCTCAAATTTTATTCTTTTTTAAAACTTTTTATTTATTGTTTTTTAAGATTTTTATTTATTTATTTGACAGAGAGGGAGAGCAAAAGCGGGAGGAGCAGCAGGAGAGGGAGAGGGAGAAGCAGGCTCCCCACTGAGCAAGGAGCCTGATGCAGACCTTGATCCCAGGACTCTGGGGTCATGACCTGAGCCAAAGGCAGATGCTTAACTGACTGAGCCACCCAGGCACCCCGCTCTGTTTTATTCTAGTTTTTGGAATATTTCTTTGGCTTTCTCTTCCAATTCTTCTATTGTTTAAGGGCTTATTTTTATTTTATTTTTAAAAGATCTAATTAATATATTTGAGAGAGAGAACACAAGCAGGGAGAAGGGGGAAGGGGAGAAGCAGACACCCCATTGAACAGAGAACCCAACACAGGCCTTGATCCCAGGATCCCAGAATCATGACCTGAGCAGAAGGCAGATGCTTAACCAACTGAGCCATCCAAGCCCCCCTATATTTTAAACAATAGTAAAAACTCCCACTCTGTACCTATTATGCACCAAGTCTGGAATTAATAGACTTGCTTTCTAGATACTCATATCTTCCCCAAAGTACGCAAATTATATGGGACCATTTTACTGGTAGATAAAAGAGGCAAAGAATTTAAATGTAATGATATTCCCAGAGTGACAAAGCTAATAAATGAGATAATCAACATTCATTGTCAGGTCACTAAGCTTCATACCTGCTCCCCTAACTGGCCTCATTAATAAATGTTCAAATCAGTAGCTTCAGGTCATTGGTCACATGCTGACCAATGCAGATAGCAGTGCCCCTTAGCCTATGGCTGATTAGGGCAACAGGGTCTCAAATACTCTGTGAATCATATGAACTTAAATGAATCCAATGTTGGTATCACATTGCTATTTTATCCCAATGAGAACAGATATCTTTTCTCCCACTGGTTCATTTTTCTAGGCTATGAGTTTCCAGTATATTCCTCTAGAACAAGTGGTCAGTTACTTGCCCTTAAACCAGGCTTGAATTGTTTACTAGTAGAAGAAACTGAATTTCAGGGGTGCAGAGCAACCCCAGCAAGATGAAGAGTAGGTTCTTAACTCCCAGGTCAGGCTCAGGTAAGAAATATACCTTTGAGTTGTATTATTTACAAAAGCTTTTTGTCCATTCCTTTTGCAGAAAATCAAAGATGTGCTCGCCGGGGCCGCACCCATTTTCAAAAAGAACAGGTTCAGGCACTGAAACGTGTGTTTGAAGAGACCATGTACCCAGATTGGGTTACCATGGAGGAGCTTATTTCAATTACTCATCTTGATGAATCAGTAATAAAGGTATGTCCCTGATTCTCTAGAGAGCCCACCTAATCCAGAGCTTCACATACACTTTAATCATCACATAATTCCTATATATATATATATATATATATTTATTTATTTAGATTTTTTTATTCATGGGAGACACACACACACACACACAGAGAGAGAGAGAGAGAGAGAGAGAGAGAGAGAGAGAGAGGCAGAGAGGCAGAGACATAGGCAGAGGGAGAAGCAGGCTCCATGCAGGGAGCCCGACGTGGGACTCGATCCCGGGACCCTGGGATCACACCCTGAGCCAAAGGCAGACGCTCAACCGCTGAGCCACCCAGGTGTCCCAGTGTTCTATATTTTTATTCTTTTTTTTCCAAAGATTTTGTTTATTCATGAGAGACATACACACAGAGGCAGAGACATAGGCAGAGGGAGAAGCAGGCTCCCTGCAGGGAGCCTGAGGCAGGAATAGATCCTAGAACCCCAGAATCATGACCTGAGCCAGATGTTCAGCCATCCAAGTGGAACCAGACCTTTTTAACCACAGAATCACAATGCTACATGGGACCTTTTCGGGATGGAGCTCAGGTAATCCCCTTGGGGTCTGTTCCTGTTTATTTCTAAGTTCTCCTTAATTAGGACATTCACAGTCATTTAGATGCCTTGCTACTAAGTTCCCACAGAGCATTTGGGGTATGAGAACCCCTGGACAAATCTTGAAGGCCCCCCAAGCTAGACTCCTACTCCATATTCCCAGTGTTCAGAATTCTCTCTGAAAATGCTGAGCATCCACCAAGACAGAAGCACCTTGCCTGAGCCCCTCCTGATCTGGTGTTTGAGTGCTCTGTCCTATTCCACCTATTACAAGCATCATCTTATGCTCCCTTTGCCCCCTGGAACTCAGGACAGCAGAGGATAGAAGGAACTTCCCTTGTTCAGATAAGAGATGCGAGACTAGCCTTCTCATGCCAAAGGAACCTAATTCCTGAGGAACATGAGGATTCCCCTTTGGACCCACCCTCCTTTATTAACTTTTTCACCTCCTCTCTAGACTTGGTTCAAGAACCAACGCGTCAAAAGGAAGAAAGAGCAGCAACAAACTGGATCAAATTCATCACTAGAATCACCAAACCCAAATTCATCACTAGAATCATCAAATCCGACCATTTCAGGCAAGGAGGAGGAGCCCTCCTTAACTGTAACTTCAGCAAACACTCATCCCAGGAGTCCCAACTTTTTGGATGCCTGTGACCATGAATTGCCTCAGTCTTCTGACAATGGCCAGCCTGGTCCCTCCAGATGGGGTTCATCTTGGTATTCTCTGCCTCCTGACCTCCAACAGATATGTCTGGGGGACTCTGATCCTCCTTGGGCCTCCAGTCCCTATGACATAGATCAATTCATGGAACGATATGCCTTACCTGGGGATGATGATCCCCGCAGCCTAGATCAATTCCTCTCCCCCACGTGCCTCGGTTGAAGTGGTATGGCTGACACATCCATTTGTTTATTGAACAACTGGTATGTTCCAGGATAGGGTTCTATGATCCAATTTTTCATCAACTGAGAGACATTTCCAAATGCATTTAATAGGTCAACGTGTTAAATAGGGCAGAGCCCGGGAATTCTTTTTCTGTAAGAAGAAAGAAATCTCTCTACCTTTTATCGTTGCTTCTGATTTCTGCTTCTGAACACTGTCTCAACCAAATTTCAATATCAAGGAGAGTCATAGATGCCCTTAGAATGGTAGCAGAAACCAGCTAGTTTTTCTTGGGTACCAGCTTGTTCCAATCGAGCTAGCTCTGTGAAAGCACCCCGACTAAGGTCAATACGATATAGATACAGCTCCGCTGCACTTGTACCCCATGGACCATTTTATCTCTATTTTTTCATTTTATCTCTTAAAAAAAAACCTAGAGTGACATTAGCAAGAGGGAAGACTAGGAGGTCCCAACTCTTGCATTTCCACAAAAACAATGATTTAACAACTACTCCCTGGTGAAAATAGCTCAGAGAGAGCTCTGGAGTACAAGAAGCTGCAGCAACCCAGGGGAGCACAGAACCCAAGGCCTTATAGAAAAGCACAGGAGGCATTTTCTTTGTGTCACCTCATCCTCCAGTTCTACAGAGTTTGCTGCCAAGAGGGATCCTCTTGGTTGTGATGCACTTCCGCCACCCCACCAGCACTTCAGGACAAAAAGAGAGTGGGAAGAAGACTCCAGAAGCTTTCACCATGAGGACCCAAGTGGTCCTTGTGGCTGTCAGGGACACCTACAGTTTTTGCCACTGAAGACTCACCCAGTGTTTGCCCAGAATCCACGCTGCTGAGTTCCTGTTGGAGGAAGGGGTCTGTTATCCTGTTATATCTGTTATCTATCCTGTTATAGAAAGGATGTGACTGCTGGTCACCCCCTGAACTGGATACCAGCAATCAGAGGCTCCTTAGGCCCTCTCTGCCCCTGGAAAGTGCATTGCCTTTCCCCATTTCTAATGTAAATTCTCTCATTTATTAAAACTTCCACTTACCAATTGTAGTAGCCTGACTTTCTTTTGTCTCTCCTTGCCCTTTGTATAGTGGCCAGTTTCAAATTATACCTGGCAAGCTCCCAAGGAGCTTGCAAACCAACAGCCCCTGGAACAGGAGCTGACACTTCCACCTTGTCCACACCGGCCCTGGTCCACCACATGAACACCCGCACCCTTGCTGGCTAGGTGATTAGGAAATGGGATGAATAAAAGGAACATTGATGGGGCTCAAAGAAAGTTTTTTTTAATTAAGATTTTTTTATTTATTCATGAGAGACACAGAGAGAGAGGCAGAGGCACAGGCACAGGCAGAGGGAGAAGCAGGCTCCCTACAAGGAGCCCGATGAGCGACCCAATCCTGGGCCCAGAATCATACCCTGGGCCAAAGGTAGACACTCAACTACTGAGCCACCCAGGCATCCCAAAGGTTTTTAATATAGTACTACCAAAAGTACCCTCTATTGGCCTCTTGACATTAAAAAACTTAAACAGGTCTGTTCTATTTACCTTAGTTTGGAGAAATTTTAACAGGCAAGAGTCAGACCATCATGAGAAACCTGCCCTGCAATTGCCTCAGACAATGATTAGGCAGATTAATTAAGATGAAGATTGAGGGGCACCTGGGTGGTTCAGTGACTGAGCATCTCTGTGTCTCTCATGAATAAATAAAATCTTAAAAAAAAGATGAAGATTGAGAAAAGGTCTCTTGGCACAACCCTCCCTGGAAACCCAAAGTCTTTTGTGCAAGAACAGGTAAAATGGTTAGAGGGTGGAGGACTTTCCAGGACTCCTTGATATGGGTATCAAAATCCACCTGATATGAGGCTGAGAGAACATGAAAATGCACAGGTTGGTGGGTTTACAGAAGGTGAATTTTTAAAAAGGATTTTATTTATTCATGAGAGACACAGATAGAGAGGCAGAGATATAGGCAGAGGGAGAAGCAGGCTCCATGCAGGGAGCCCGATGCGGGACTCGATCCCAGAACTCCGGGATCACGCCCTGAGCCAGAGGCAGACACTCAACCACTGAGCCACCCAGGCGTCCCAGAAGTTGAAATGCTTCAACAGGTTTTTCTGTGAAGTGGTGGTATCTCACCTGATTGTGTCATGGGGTGGACATTGTGTTCCAGGGGGAATGTTTCTCCTACCTAGTATTGTAAAATAGAAAGCATGTGAATCTGCCCTTCAACAATATTAACTGGACATGCTAAATCCAGAACTAGTAAGATTGCCTGAGCCCATGTAGCATAGAGTGGAAGCCGGCAGTGTTAATTCTTTGTGCAATTGCCCTATGGGGAGTGTCGACTGGGGCTCCTGGCAAAAGCCTGTGAGGATCTCCCAGCAATGACTATTAGGGCTCTGGATTAAAGGATTCCCAATGGAAAAGGAAATTTGCTATCACTGAGCTTGCTATGGATGCACTGAAGACTGTCCCTCTGACTAAAGGACATGAAATATCTTGAAACCAGAAATACCCATAATGTCTTGGGTGATGTTGGCGAAATGCTTTACTGAGGATAGCAGTGCCCAGAAGAGTTCCATAATACAATGGAAATCGTTTATACAGGATCTTGCTGCCTGGGGAATACAAGGAGACATGAGCAGAGAGCCTCTTTTCCTCCATGAGAGGAGCCCCCTGGATTCTAGTGTCACTTGGACACTTAGAAACAGCTCTCAATTGGCTGATCAAGTGCTGTTAGGTCTGTAGGCTGAAGTTCCAAGGTGAATGGTGAGCATCCTGTTTGGAAGACCACTGCTTTGTTTTTTTTTAAATAAAGATTTTATTTATTTATTCACGAGAAACACAGAGAGGAGAGAGAGACAGGCAGAGGGAGAAGCAGGCTCCATGCAGGGAGCCCGACATGGGACTCGATCCCAGGTCTCCAGGATCACGCCCTGGGCTGAAGGTGGCGCTAAACCACTGAGCCACCCAGGCTGCCCAAGACCACTGCTTCGATTGAAGAAAGTTAAAAAAAAAAAAATCAGCTCAGTGGACTGAATTGCATGCTGTTTTCCTAGTAGGAAAGAGGATTTGAACAGTAGAATGGGCTCCTACGTTTGGGTTGTTACTGACTCATTGGGCCATTGGCCAATTACTTGGCCATATGGCCAGCAGAAGGGCAATGGAAACTCTCCCTATCAAGGTATCCCCATTTGGGGCATGGCCCTAGAGGAATCCTTAAGGGAATTTGAGGGGTGCATTAAAGTAGGACATGTCAATGCCTATCAGAAGAATCTCCTTCCAGATTTGGAAGGTGATTGGATTCAATAAGCAGGTATTTCTGTGTGCTTGCTTCTAGTGACCATGAAATGAGTGGATATTTCTGCAACAAGGCAGATGTGGGTTGGATCTAGACCCATTTCTCTTAGACCTTCTGGACATAAAATGTTGATTAGAGCTGTCCTGTCTGCCAAAATAGAGACAGAGCCTGCAGATGGTTACGTGGCAGATGCCCTGATCACATGCAGACTCGGTGATATCAGCTACAATGTTATCTCGGTGCTCGGAGGTTGTGCAAGAAGTTCTAGTTCCTTGGTACCCAGGGGTTGTGCAAGAGCACTCTGTTCTTTCCGCAAAGGAGGCCAAGGTCTACAGATGCACAAAGGGAGGTCAGTAAAATCACTTGTGTTACCTTGAAAAAAGGAAAACATTTTGCTAAAGGATGGCTGGGCTAATCAGAAAGCCAAGGGGGCTTCAAACAGACTTGCTGGCCTCTGGCCTGGGAAAGTTCTGCTCCTTTATTCCCCAAGGACAGTGGTCTGCAAATCTCAAAGAAAGCAAATTAGTTCTGTTACAAATTAAGGGCCTTAAGTCAGCAAGCAAGGAGTGTGTACCTTGAAGCAAGTTAACCCTTTTTAAAAAAAAGATTTTATTTATTTATTCATGTGATATATATATATATATATATATATATATATATATATATAGAGAGAGAGAGAGAGAGAGAGAGAGAGGGAGAGAGAGAGAGAGATAGGCAGAGGGAGAAGCACACTCCCTCAGGGAGCCTGATGTGGGACTAGATCCCAGGACCCTGGGACCATGACCTGAGCCGAAGGCAGATGCTCAACTGCTGAGCCACCCAGGTGTCGCCTGCAAGTTAACCCTTAAGACGGGCTGGAGTGCTGTTACACCATAAAGCACTAGAAGACCGCATCAGTTTGGACAGCTGATTCTCATCTCTTCAGACAAGGAACAATTCTACAGCCCACAGTGTCCGACAAAGGACAGAGAGCTCCTCCCCCGAGTACCAGCGTGACAGAGAAGTGAAATGGGCAGTTAAAACACTGATTGTCTAAAATGGGGAGGTGCAGGGGCACCTGGGTGGCTCAGTCAGTTAAGCATCTGACTTTCCACTCAGGTCATGATCTCAGGGTCTTGAAATGGAGCCCTGCGTTGGGCTCCGCACTGAGCATAGAGGCTGCCTGGGATTCTAGTAATGTCCTAGTATCCTTTGATTTTTTAAAAAATAGTCATTTTGTTTTCAGGGATCTGTGTTTGAAGATCAGAGGGTGGACTGTGAGAGTGATATAATGACAGAAATACAGTTGGTCCTTGGGCAACCATGCTGACCCCCCATGTAGTTGAAAATCCGTGTATAACTTTTGACTCCCTAAATGATACCTTTTTAAAAAAGATTATTTGCTTATTTATCAGAGAGAGAAAGAGTGAGAGAGAGAGAGAGCACGAGCGGGGAAGAGGGGCAGAGACAAGCAGACTCTGCACTGAGCACGGAGCCCTACGTGGGGCTCAACCCCCCTGAGCTAAAGGGAGATGCTTAACTGACTGAGCCACCCAGGCGCCCCTTGACTCTCCTAAAGATGTAACTATTATTAGCCTCCTGCTGACAGGAAGCCTTACCAATAACATAAACAGTTGGTTAACATGTATTCTGTATATGTGGCATATACTGTATTCTTACAAAAAAGTAAGCTGGAGAAAAGAAAATGTTAT